CACACATGATACTATTTATTTAATGTATAAATAGCTCAAAGATCAAGTTAAAATTTCAAAGTTTTATTCAAGCATATACTAATTCTGTAAATAGGTAAAATTTTAATAATTTTTAAATAACTTCTACCATCATTGTTATAGAATTCTAAACAGTCCACTTTAAGAGGAAAAAAAATAAAATAAAATAAAATAAAGAAAAGAAGACTTCAACATCTTTCACAACGAATTTCATTATATATATGTATATATATATATATATATATAGATAATATTTTTTCACAACCCAAGAATATAGTCAAGCATGATTTAATATAATTCTCAAGTCATTGTTGAGTTATTCTCAAAACTAAGTTCAGTTTTGAGTTATTCTCAAAACTAAATATTCTTTATATATATATATATATAATATTTTATCACAACCCAAGAATATAGTCAAGCATGATTTAATATAATTCTCAAGTCATTGTTGAGTTATTCTCAAAACTAAGTTCAGTTTTATCTTTCATAATATAATTTGAGTAATGAGCAACTTTTTATAAATATAAAACAAGGTAAGAAGGAAATTATTCTTAAATTTTAAAACAATATACCATTATTGACTTTTTGTAAAAAGCATCTCACAAAAATTTACTTATCTTATATTTATTTATTTTTAAATTTTTATCTAAGAAGGCTTTATGCCAAAAATATGGTTGCATGACAATCAATTCTTCTATAGTAAAAATTCAACAATGCATTTTGTTGCTAGACAATTCATTATATTTGGTCTTTCAAAAGAAACTTATTACATAAAAACTTTTATACTACCAACAAGGTGTTTTTTTTCTTTAGTTTATCATGTAATAAAACATTAAAACTCTTTCACAAAATCAAAAAGATTATGACTTTTAATATCTAAGAAGTACCAATATTTACAAAAGTATATTACAAAACAAAGTATTATAATAATTAAGTTTTAGATGAACTTATATTATACCATATTTTAAGTATATTTTATTAAAAATATAATTTCAAAATCTATTGATAAAAAATAAAAAAAATAAATTTATAATATCCAAATAATTAAATTATATCCAAATTTTGTATTCTTTGTAGTATTCTCTTATTGTAGATTATTCTTTTGAATGAAATAGTTGATAAAAAAAAAACATGCTAATTCTTTGTCACTTCAATTTCTAATTTAAGTTTTGTGCAATTTTGTTTATGTATGAATGTTCATCTATATTAAATATTTTTTAAAAAAATGGACACAACTATGCCGCCACCAAAGTAGAT